CCTCGTGTCGTGAGCCCTTTAAGGTAACGCAGGCACCCAGAACCCTTCTAGTCTCTGCGTAATGGGTTGGGGGGCTGGCCTGTGATACCAGTGCTAAATATGTTTCTGTTATCAATGATTCGATTTTCTTCTTTCTGCTCAATAAAAAAAAAAAAAATTGCGAAAAAAATCGTTTTGGTCGATCAGATACTTAGGTAATCCAGAACACCCACGCAGTACTCACTCTGCGTGGTCTCGTATTTGTGGCGGACTGTTTCACTGGGAAGATGAAATGTCTTCCAGCTTCAGGTCAGAGGTGTCCAGTGACATGCGCGTGTCTTCCTCCTGGTGTTTCAGATATGAGGAGGAGGCCAGGTGTGGAGAAGGGAGAATCGAAGGTTGGGCTGACTCCAAAAAAAAAAATCGATCACAATTATTCACAAAAAAATCATAACCTCTGATGAAAACCACATGTCGCTTCTTTGTCACCAGCTTCTCTGGCCGATGCGGTTCCAGTCTCAGAGTGTCTGCGATGGTTTTAGGGTCTGTCTGTTGATCACAATCACTGCCATTTATTGCATCCCTCCCGTGATGCAGACATGTTGTATGTTCTGTTTCTCCTTCTTGTGGCCATGAGGTGGGGATGATTTTGAGCCCCCTCTCCCCGCCCCCCGTGTAGCATCTTGTAGTGGCCGAGCCAGGATAAGGATGAGACCGGCTGATCTGACTTGACAGCCTGGCGTGTCCATTGCAGCGTGTGGCTTCTCAGGGAAAGGCTCTGTAGGATGGCCGCTGGCCACTGACGTCCAGCCTGTGGGCAGACCAGGTCTGATGAGCCTTTCCAGCTGAGCAAATCTATAAGTGCTTTGAATTCTGCCCCTGCAGAGGGTTTCAAGTTTATGGCAGACTTTGTGGCCAAAATGGCAGCTTTCTGAAAAACCGAAACCAAAACGCTGCTCCTCTATTTAACTGATTTTGGTTTCCTGCAAAGCGACTAACTTGACAGCACAGAGACGAGGCACCTTTCTTCTTCCCAGCCTGTCCTGCCCTGGAGAGTTGACTGCTTTGGCTCTGTCGCCTGTTCTGTTCGGATCCCCCGCTGATCTGCGAACAACAAACGATGTCGCCCAGACTGTTTTTAGCGACGTCTGTGTGGACCGTTTCCTCTGCTGCTTTGAGCCTGTGAATTCCTGGCCCAGAGTAACACCTGCCTATGTCGTGCAGACTGGTGGTTTTTAAGCTTCTGATACCCACAAACCTTTTGAGAAATTTCTTTCGAGTTCCTTTTTGGTGGTCGTGTACCTTTTATCAAGGAACAAAGGTGAAAATGCACCCACCTGCCTTAACACCACGTATTGTCACTAACGAAGGACAAGTAAATAAAGGAGCTCTGAGTGACACAGGAGCTCGAAATGCAAGAAGCAAGGTTGCTGGGTCCCTCTCACTCTGCCCGCTGTGCCAGAACTTGGTGACCGCCGGGGGAGTTCTGGGAGGCCTTTTGGTATACCTGAAGAGCCTTTTTTCTCTCTCTGCATGTTTTACACAGTTGATAGTCTATCGAACATAACTGGTTTTAATATTGCATACCAATCAGAGACCCAGGGGTCAGCTGGCATTTTATGTCAAGGGCCAGGTGGCAAATACTTTAAACTTTGAAGACTATGCAGCCGATCAACCTTGCCATTGTAGTGTACAAACAGCCATCGATGATATGTGAGCAAACGGACATTCAGGTGTTTATAAAGCGAGACGGGGTGTTGTGCTGACCCCGGGGCTATGCTGTTAAAATGGACATATTCATAATATCTATCAGGTATAGATAATGTCTCTCTAGCATAGGTCGTTAGAATTCAATAATTAAAAAAAAAAAAACCCAACTCAAATTACTACATATAGTTTTATAGGTTTGCCTATCATTACTTGAAGTCTGTGACAATGAAATAGCTTTTTTCCCCCCTATATAATATCATTTTTTTTGAAGGAAGAAAATAATTCTCTTTTCACTGTATTTCATGTGGAAGTAAAAAAAAAAAAAAAGCTATCATGTAAAAGTTAAGCCATTCATTATTAGCTATTTCTGGAACTAAACAGCATCAGACTAGACATTTTTTTAACGGTGAGAAAAACAAGATGTACAGTTATGCATTCTACCGGAAGGTAAGCAGAAGCAGATTCCTATTCACGGAGAAAAGTACCTCAGAACCAACATTTATTCCCAGGCTGGGGGTTCAGCTGACAAATGTGTGCAATCCAACAGGATTTCTGCCGAGCGCCAAGCTCCCTGTCTCCACCGGGGCCGGATTCACCCTCAGAGTATCTCCAGCCTCTCTCGGGGGCTCTAGTTTGGACATTACAAGGGCTGGTGCCCACCCCTGGTTATTGTCTGTCGACGTTAGCAGATTATGCCTTTTTTGGTCCTAGGTCTCTGCTTCCTTCTTGGTTACTTAATTCTTCTCCACCAGAGACTCTAGTCGTGCTTTGAAGCACTGGAAGCGAAGGAGTCGTTCAGAGAGTTTAAGGACTGCGTTTCAGTGCGCTGAATAAAAACGCGTTGGTCAAATCGTCCATTTGGTGGAACAGATAAGGGCAGGCCACACGCACAGGTCCTGGCTTTCTGTTTGTAGCCGATCATCATTCGCTCGATGTGCAATCATCACAGCCCTGGTCTTTGAAAAAGAATTCATGGATTCAAAAACTATTTGGAAAGTGAGTGACTCCTACATGGCAGACCTTCTGTCATTGATTGTGCAGGGACCCTGAGAGCACTAGGCACATGCCCGGCCCCAAGGAGCCTGCCATCTAGTGGGAGATGCAGAAATGTAATTGAGTCGGGGGGATAAAGTGATGGACAGTAGTGGGGACAAAGTTCCGTGGGGGCGGAGGGTGGGACAACGTGATTTTAACGAGAGTTCAGGAGAAGTTGCAGGAAGCCGAGGAGTTTACAAGTAATTATGTGGGGAGCCGGGACGGGCTTTCTGGGGGAAGGAGGTGATACGTGGCGGGTATAAAAGGGGGTGGCGTGTTCGGCTGACTTGTTACGCTTGTTAAGGCCGGAGGTTCGGGAGGATGCGAGCTAGTCCCGGAAGGCAGTGTGAGGCCTTGAACACCCTCCTTCATGGCAGTGAGAGATTGGAGGTGGATCCCGCAGGCAGTGGGGATTAGCAAAGAGGTTCTCAGTAAGGAAATGAAACGATTGGACTCGGGCTTTGGCGCAGTTACGTGGCACTGTTGTGGAGGGTAGGTTGGCAGGAGAGCCGTTGAGGATGGGGCGACCAGTCTGTCTACTGCAGGCGTCCTACCCAGGGGTGGCGAGGGAGAGAGAGGAGCGGGCTTGCCGAAGAGCTACTCAGAGTGCGTGCTTAGCACAGCTGGGAACGACAGACGGTGGATCAGCCGTGAGTCTACGGTGTATTTGGAAAGTGGGCGGAAGACAGCACACTGCTCCATGTCAAGGGGCCATCAGCGCAGAAGCGCTTTGAGTGGAAGGGTGTGCCCAGAGTTTGCGGACCGACGGTGCGGCCAGGCAGAGGTAACGAGGAAGCCATGCTGAGGTTCACAGTGACGTCTGGCTGGGAGATTACATGCCATTCATGAAAAGTCTCTTTGAGGTTAACCTGTAATTTCTTTTTTATGGAAATGTAGAATTTTATATCCCTAATAGCAGTGGCAAAAACTTTTAGCTACACATGGAGTTAATAAGTATATTTTATAGACGTCTATGTAAAACAAAACAAGACCGAACAACAACAACCAATGAAAAACAATGACAAACAGAGTGGCAGAAAATTGGTACCGCAGCCGAGACTCCAACCCTGCCTGAGGCGTTGCAAGGTGACATTGCTGTATGTTTCAGGGAGACCATACGGCGACGGGTAACCAGGGCTGCGAGGATGACCCTGTGGTTTTGCTCAGTGATCCCAGTTCTGCTTATTAAAGGGAAATGATTCAGCATCTCATCATGAAAACCTACCTTATGGACGTGATCTATGAAACAGTCAGCTGAAAGGGAACAGTCTGGTGTGTGTGTGTGTGTGTGTGTGTGTGTGTGTGTGTGTGTGTGTGTGTGTGTGTGTGTGTGTGTTTCTACTCAGAGCAGAAACATGAAGACTGTGAAGAAACACAGAAAGATATTTACATTGATGTGAAAATAGTATTTATAATTGTCACAACTGCGCAAATATATGTATGCCGATAGAGACTCACTGGAAAAACATTAAAAATGAAAACTGTCCAAACGGTAAGATTATGGATCATTTTCTTGTTTTTTTTTTTCCAAAATGAAGTTTACGTCAATACAGTTTTTCAAAAGCTTCTCAAAAGGTATAAAGTTGCAATGCAGCAGATGTGCACAGAGGCAAGCTCCAAACGCTGTCACTTAAATGCTCCTTGAGCACTGGGGAGGGCGACGTAAAGGAATGGCGGCCCCTTGAACAAGGGTAGTCGGGGGAAGTGAGGCTAGGAGGCAGGCAAAGGAACGAGACGTTCGGGCCGACAGCAGCACCCCGTCCTCCTCCCTAGGGAGCCACCGTGGTGGGGCATCAGGGCCTTGCTGTCCCTGGTGGTGGAAGCTTCGTGTCACAGCGGGCGTGTGGGGTAGAGGGGAAAGCAGGACCACAGCGACCACCCGACCTCGGGACTGGGCCATGACATCGCATGGCCTGCGGGCAGGTCCCCAGTGGAAGATTTGAATTCAGGGTGGTGACAGGAGGTGGGATGGCCATGTCTCTCTTATGCACACATTCGGTTTCATTGACACATTAACCACAGGTGAGGAGGAAAAGGCCACGAGGTATGGGGTGAGTAGGAGCGGAAGCAAAGAAACTTTCTTCAAAAGATTAAAAAAAAAAACAAAAAAAAACCAGCATCAGTGTTGCAAAGACTTTCCGCGATCCCACACCTACCCCGAAAGCCCCGGGCGTAGCACAGGAAGTGCGCTGACCATCGGAGGAATAAAAGAAGCTCGCGGGGGAGACGGGGCTCAGCTCCTCGCTCAGCGACTCGCCCAGCCCAGCCCAGCCCAGCCCAGCCCAGCCGACCTCAGCCATGAGAGCGCTCATCCTGGCCTTCCTCGGGCTCTGCTGCCTCACGGTGCACGTTGTGGAAGGTGAGTCCGAAGCTTTCTCGTGACGGGAGGGCAGGCGGGCCATGCAGACGGGTGGGCACACATGGTGTAGGCTCAGGTTTCGACTTTGCCCAGGGTCAGCCTCGGACTCCCCATGTGCAAAGCGGGGTTGATACTTGTAATGCTAGGGGACCCCGCAGACTCCAGGAACAGAGAGAACTCGGCGAGAATCTGGGCTCCTGCTTTTCCCAGTCGGGTGATCTTGGGTAGATAAGCATAGGAATTACTTACCTAGAAGTTGAGTATTATAACAGATGCTCTCACCTGGGAGGAAAATGAAGTAAATCTTGGGCTCACTTATCAGATTTCCTCACGAGTCCTCACCTCTCGAGGAATGTTCACTGTGGAAGGGTGTGACGATTATATATGCTCTGGCCTGTGTAGCATCGATCTTGATAAATCCTAGAACTATTTGAGAGATCAGTTGCCATGTGGGGATGAGCCGAACCTGCGGCGTGCAGGTTCTGACGCAGATCACTGTCCTCCATCAAGAGCGTGACTGGGAGCTCGTACCTTCCCGCTGGGAAATCAGGGTTGCTTTCAAATGTGGGGGAGGATCTACGATTGCTGCCTGGGGTGGATTCCCACTTATGCTACATTTCTTGAGTTTATAAGAGACCCCATGGTGAGTGCTGACCGATAGATCCCTGTCTTACGGACAGTCACATAAATGTACCAGACAGATCCGGATGAGGCTTAGACGTGCCAAGCCTACCCACATCTCCTATTCCGACTGCTTGGAGTTTATTCCTCCTTGTGCCTCAGGCAACAAGAGACATTGTCCTTTGGGGGCACTGAGTGTTGCAGTGAACCCTCCTCTCAACCTCCCAATTATTAGACTTATTTCTCAGACTAGAATATCCGACCCCGAAAACCACAGATCCCCAGGGGCGTCTATGAATGGGGGGAGGGGAGCAAAGCCTGAGACTCTGCAACTGCACGATGACCCAATACTGACGACACAGAAAAGCTTAAGGCGACTGAATGGGGCTGAGTTTTGCCACGCGGCTGGCATTTTGCTGACATGATAGGCGTGCCATGCGGTGGAGACGCAGGCTTGTTAGAGACGGGGGAACCGCAGACACTGGGCTCCAATTCCCAAGTTCTCTGCTAGATCGATCTCCACACATCCCCCCGGGCTTAGCTTCTGTGTCCAACAATGGGGCAAAGCTGTGTGTGCATTGACGCAGCCACGTTGGGTGGAGGTGACGACTTTACGGATGACACAGACGTGCACGCCTCGCTGAGAGTAAGGGGCGTCGTTTGGGATCGGCAGTCCGCTGGGAGTCTCGGGGTCTTGGGACTTCACAGAGGACAATGTTGTTTCTTAAGCAGTGAGGGAAAGACCTCCCTTCTGTAGCTGGCATTTTACTGTTGAGAACGAGAACACCTGTATTCAGCCGAAAACCCGCTGTGTTTAGTGTCGCGTTCCCCAGATGGCTCTTCGGCACATCAGTCGTCCTCATTTTGGTCATAGCACGTGGGACTGACGGCTATCTGGAATTGCATTTGACTTTTGTTTGCTCGGTTTCCCTCTCCAGGCGTGGGGAGCGAAGTCCTGGAGGAGAGGATCTGTGTGAGCCTGACCACCCGGCGCCTGCCTGTGAAAAACATCAAGACCTACACCATCAAGGAGGGCCCGATGCGAGCAGTCATGTGAGTCCATCTCCCCACCACGGGGCCCCGTGGGACACCGGGGGCAGAAGTTCTGCCCTCCTCGGGGAAAATCAGACCAACAGCCCCTTCGTTTTCCCACATTACCCACACCTTTCTGTAGCACCAGATAAGGGTTATCGTAGACATTTGGCGACCAAATGAAGAATATCATCTTCTTCTCCGATTTAGCTTAGCAGAAGAATCTGACTGGGAACCAGATGGATACCGGGGCCAGCTCCGAGGGTTAGGTTTAGAGATGGCTGGTTCCGATCGGGATTTGACCATGTAGCCACACTGATGCGAGATCCTTCCCCTCCCCTCCCCTTCCCTCCCCCTACTCCCCTCACTTCCCCTCCCCTCCTCTTCCCTCCCGCCCAGGCCTGCAACACACAGGCACCTCCCCCTTGCCGTGTGGGGAAACGCTACTTCTTCACGTTCCCTTCCCTTCCCCTACTCCCCTCACTTCCCCTCCCCTCCCCTCCCCTCCTCTTCCAGTCCTGTCCCATGCCTCTCTTACCTTCATACGGTATGTTGGGATAAAGTAGGGTGCCATGTTTTATCAGTTGCCATATCTCAAGAAAATATGTCAAAAACTAACCTACATGGTACCATTCTCTCTCCAGGATCTCATTTTCAGAGTGGCAGCTCTTCCCAACACATAGCTGCCACTTTACCCACAGAAATTAAGATAAAGAAGTCACTTTTTGTGCAGAAAATAAGATGAACATATCTAGATTTGAAAAGGAAGATGATACGTAGTGATCGGACTAGATGATGTTCAGTTTAGTTACAGCATTTGGAGGCCCAGGTGAGAAAAGGAGCCTGGGAATCATGGTGAACAAAGGATCTGGTGTCACCTGGAGACACTTCTCCTTCCTGTTAGCGTAGATTGCGGGAGAAAGCTTTTTATCTATGGTCTCACGGTTCTGAAAGACCTACTCCGTCCAGTAATTTCTGCACAAGAGCTCTCTCTTCGGTCAGATCTTAACTCCTGCTCCCAAGGTTTTGAGGATGTGACTAACTCTGCCCGTCTGTTCTTGACCTCGCAGATTTATTACCAAACGTGGCTTTAAAATCTGTGCCAATCCACAAGAAGATTGGGTGAAAAAAGCAGTTGAACATGTGAAGTCCAACAGAAAAAACAAGAACCAGACCAAGCCTACAGGAGCCCAGCAATCCACCAGTACAACTGTGACCCTGGCTAGGTAGTGGCCTTCCGACCCCGTGTCCCCTCACGAACCAGCCAACTGATTTTCCTTTACGAGCTCATGGACCGATTAAATTATATTCACCTTTTCTGAAAGTGCCACGTGTGTCACATTTTTTTCTTGTATTTTTATTTTTCATGGCTTTTGTTTTCATTTAGATGCTATAATTAATAAATATTTATTATTAAGAATAGCCCCAAAGTCTGTTCATTGCCTCTTAGGAAAGGTAATATATCATTCGTGTACCACTTCTGTCCTAACTGTATCTCTCTCTGACGGGATCTGTGATGGGAGCGTTTTGAGCCAGTGTTTACCAGGGATGAAAAATATAATCATTGTTCTTAGGTTCCAGCTTGAAATGGTTCTCTGTCCATGAGTCATGAGTGACAACTGTGACAATGGCAACAACTCAAGATCTATTGCAACGTATCTTCATAATGGAGTTCTTTTTATGGAATAAGGGAGAAAAATCTAACTGTCACTGGGTTTGCATTCTGAGGGTCCGCTACTCAAAAAGTAACTTCACTCAAGTTTAATCTCGAGCAGATGGTCTTATCTCTCTGTTTCATTTGATCTCCTATGGAAGGGAAAAAGAGAGGGCTTGTCCATTCTTTATTTGTCAAGGTAACAAAGGTTAGACTGTCTGTGAAAAGATTCTTTATCCAAATAAAAATCAATTACTCTTTGAATTGGGCAGCGATCTCTCTGCCTTTCTGTGACTTCTGTGATTGTCATTACTCTAGTTATCATCCAAGTCATGCTTTTCTGCCGGTAGCTTTTTATACCCTAACGGAGCCACCCGGAACACTTGAATGAGATCACAATTTGCAGTAAAGTTTTAAGTGTTGACCTGGCCACTCAACACCCCAGCCTCACACTTTCTTGTAATGTTATTAATTGCTGATTTGGTTTCTGTTTGTGGTCTGCTGTCACCCCAGCTGGTGACGTATACATCCAGTTCTGTCTGACTCTGAATTGTCAGAACTGACCAGGCTTTGATAGTTTCAGGGGAAGAGAGAACATTCTTGTCTCGTCCTGAGGGGACACCCAGCAATGTCAAAGGCTTTCAGAGGGCATCTGGGGGCAAGCGAGAGCTTGGGTCATCTCTCCTTTCTCATCTATATTTGCCCACAATTTTCAAAAGATTTTAAAGTAAATACTGAGAATAGATATGAGGAATGAAATGTAGCAGAGTCACAGACGATGTCAGGAGGGGCTTCCCAAATATCTCCCAGCCCCGAGATATTTCATGGGATGATGATGGGCTATGTCGAAGAACAGGGCGTGCACATCCTCTTAACTTATCACGTTACTTAAGGTGGCACTATGTGACACCAAGGGGTGTTGACCAAATACTATACGAAACTTTGACTGGATGCTTTGAGTTTGTTAAGGGAGGACCCGAATCTATTGGCCATACCCCTGTGGTTTATTGGATTTCGGTTCACTTAAGAAACAATCTAAGTAAAAGAGATCTCAAAATACTATTTTTTCCATGGCTGCGACCCCTCCTGTATCTGCCTATGGCATCTCGCACTTAAATTTAACCCCAAAATTATCAATGTGCATTGAAATTGCTTGTTTGCCTGTCTGCGCTCCCCACTTCCTTCTGCAGTTAGACCGGAGGCCGCTTGTGTGTTTTATTATTTTTTCTTTGTCGTATTTTTTAAGTAAACTTATTGGGGTGACATTGGTTAATAATAACAACATAAATTTCGGGTGTACCTCTTTATAACATGATATCTGTGTCCACTATTGTCTGTTCACCACCCGAAGTCTCGTCTCCACCCATCATCATGTCTCTGAGCCCTTTACCTTCTTCATCCTCTCCCTACCTCCCTTCCCTCCCGGTAAACACCATCAGGTTTCTGTATATATGATTTTTGTGTGTTTATTTGTTCATTTGTGGCTTTTTGTTGTATGTTCCACGTGTGAGCGAAATCATATGCTTCTCGTTCTTTTCCGTCCGACTTATTTTACTTGGCCTAATACTCTCCAGATCCATCTATGTTGTTACATGGCAATATTTCATCTTTTTATGGCCGAATAGTATTCCATCGTGTATACATGGAATACTTCTTTATCCTGTCATCCATCAGAGGACACTGAAGTTGTTTCCATGTCTTGGCTATTGTGAATAATGCTGCAATGAACATAGGAGATATATATATATCTCTTTACAAATAAGTGTTTTCAAATATTTTGGCCTCGTGCATGCTTTTCACACTGGGTCCCCAGTGGCCAGCCTAGACTGTGGGTGGTCAATTAATATTTGTTGGATAAATGTGACAAAGAACATTTTATATTATTTCCTTTATTCTACTATTTTATATTCCTAAAATTATATATAACACGAAACAAACTATTCAAAGGAGGTTCAGTTCAGCAAACATTTTGAGGTGCATCGTTAGAACAGGCACCGTGTTAAGCTTCGGATATATCAAGATAAGCAAACCCCATTTCTGCCCGCCAAGCTCTCACAGCTTGGTCGATGAGACTATGGTATAAACAAGCCAATTGCACAGGGTTTGAAACAGGAAATAATATAAATGTGTTCAAGAAACAGAAACAACACGGCAAACAGAGTGATTAACTATCTGGGGAATGTTCTCTCCAAGGACTTTTGAGTTTATATGTAATTATGGATTATTATAAAAATGCCTGGAAGATGCACCCTTAATTGGTTGGAAGAAAGATGTTGTCACACATTTTTCTCTTGACTAGGAAGGGATTATAATATTTGTGCAGTAGTTTATTCTTTTCTGGGTATCTGATGTAGCAATGTAGTGAGACTAATGCTGTCACTGTCATTTAATAGGTGAGAAAACTGAGCCAAAGAGAGGTCAGTTGTCTTGGCTAAGAGCCCATGGCTGTTGGGAAACTGAGCCTGACTTCAGACTCCGACTTTCTGTGGCGTCCCAGCCTCATGGAGCAGAGCGACAGAGTGGGGGTTATTCTAGAGTGGACGTACTTGGGGGTTCTCCGAGCACAGCCACGTCATCGTGTGGGACTCAGAATCCTCATGATACAGGAGAAGTACTTCCTGTTGGATTTTTTCTATATAATTATTTGTAAAAAGTTTTTATTTTATCAGAGTATTATGTGAACGTGGCCAAATGTTTAAATAGCACAAAAGGGCTGCTCATGAAGACCAGGAATGCACCCCCCCACCCTATTCTTTCTCATTTTTAATCTCCTCTTCGCAGACAACTGCTCTTAACTCCTTGACCCGGTGGTTCCGATAGTCACCATCAAAACATCCGTGTTTGTGTACCAGCATTTTTGGAGTTTACCTGTGGCTGCCTCTGATACGTGTGGATGTGGCTCACTTAGCGCCAAATTCTCTTCCATTCTTTCCATGTAATTACGCCGATATTTTCAGTTGGTTATGTTTATAGTTTTATGTAGTATACCTATCGGTTATTTCTTTGTCGTCAACTGTGGGCAGTACTTCTCGACTTTCCATTTTGTGAGATTGTTCTGTTTTCTATAGCAAATACTTTAAAAGTCTTCCCTATGTAACCAGCGCTGTTTTATTGCTTTGCAAATATTAAGACGTTTAATCACATAACAGACCTCAAAGACAAAACAGCTAAGGCACCACGAGGCTCTTGGTTTGTGAGGGATGGAGTTCGGATTTGAGCCCATGGAAGTGTGGCTCCAAGTGTGGCTCTTGACCGCTATGCCATGCGCTCACCTCTCTTCATCAAAGCAACTTCGCTCATCCATTTGGTAGATGTTCAGTGAGGGTTGACTACGTATCAAGAGCTGCAGATGCAGCACTGAGCAGGTTGAAGGCCCTGCCTTCACGGAGCTTGCACCCCAGTAAAATCTGCCCCCCACTCTTTCTCCAGGGTTCCTCATCTGCCCACTCACCCGACGGATGCCTGTTTTGAGCCCGATGCACCCAGTCTGGACGCCATGCCAGGCACTGGAGCACAGTGGGGGAGCCAGACGGGGTCCTGTCTCCAGGAAGCTGACACAGTATGTAGACACTTTCAACGTACTGTCACATGTGCGACAATGGGATGGTGGAGAGTGTGAGTGTGGATACGCGGGCGCGAGCCTGCCCACGCGCGAGGGCCAGGACGGACTTCCCCCTGGGAACAGCTGTCATCCTGACATTGAAGGGGGAGTCAGGGTTATTCAGTGCGTTCTGGGCAGAGGGAGCAGGCAGCACGTGACAGGCATGCAGGTGAGAAATGCAGATTGCTATGGAAACGCGGGCACAGCGGAGCCTCGAAGAGTGGGGCTAGCGCACCAACCCCCACGCAGTCCAAAACCCATGCGTAAGTTTCGACTCCCCCAAACTGAGCTAAACCAACAACATAAACTGAGCCAATAATATGAACAGTTGATAAACACACATTTTGTGTGTGATATGCGTTACATACTGTATACTTACAGTAAAGCGAGCTAGAGAAAATGTTAAGAAAATCATAAGAGAAAATACATTTAGAGACTTTATTGAGAAGAATCTGCATTTAATTAGGCCTATGAAGTTCAAACTCCTGTTCAAGCGTCACCCGTGTTTAGTGTGATCAAGGGACAAAGCGAAGGCTAGACCATGAAGGGTGTGGGCGAAGGTGAGGTTAGCGGGACAGAGTTGCTGTCCCCAAGGGCTCTGTCTGCCAGATCAAGGAGTGTGCACTTCCTCTTAAAGGCTGGGGATGACCCTGGCTGCCAGGTGGAAAATGGGGTGCAGAGAATGAGATGGGGGCTGGGAACTGACTGGGAGGCGGCTTCGGACCTGGTGACTTTGGAACTTGGCCTTTCCTCGTGGGCCTCTTCCACTTAGCCAGGGTGTATGCAAGGGATGCACAGCTGCCCGACTCTGCGTGTGGCTCAGCTGTCCCTACCACGTGCCTCAGGCAGCCCCTCCGGTCACTGATCCCTTGGCTGTGGGGAGCCAGGGCTGGGATGTGGAAAAAATTGCGTTTATGGGAATCTTGGATTCACTGATCCCTTGGCTGTGGGGAGCCAGGGCTGGGATGGGGAAAAAATCGCGTTTATGGGAATCTCCTTATAAGTTGCTGAGATTGGATTCGTGGGACCGAGGTTGGAGCCGACCTCCGAGGGGGAGGTTGGCAGAGTTGAGAAGCGGTAACTTGGT